GCTAGGTAGCCAGTAGTTATGCATGTATTTAGATTTTACTATATATATTTAGTATATTAAGGAAAGTCTAAACTTTTAAAATTAGGATAAAAAGATAAATAAAAATCAGTTTGGAATTTTAACCGAAGAGTCGATTAGGCAATAACTACTCTTGGAGTAAGCGGATTGCGATCGCGAATATAAGAAATCCATCTCAAATACAACTTTGAAATAGTCGATCAAATTAACTCGGTTCCGCTCCTGATGAGGGGCAATAAATTAAAGTTATCTTTCCGGTGCTTTTTAGAAGTTAATATTTCCTTCTCCATATTGGACAAAAAGAAGAAAAGCAGCGAAATGGATACAATTCTCGAACAAGATGAGCTATTTATTTTGATAAAATTCTATCACGAAGTTTATATTTGAAAAAAGTACTGTTTTTCTCAGCGATCAATGTTACAGTTTGATTAACATTTGTTCACCTACCATGAATTCTACCTGCCCACGTATTCAACATACTTTTTGATCACCAGGTTTTAAAATGGTCTTTTTGATCTCTGGATGAAGTGCATGCACCGATCGAATTAAAAAAACAACCTGGGCACAAATGCGGTTGTCGCGCTGCTCACATAAACATCCTTTCATTGATAAATATCTGATTCTACCATAACCCCCATAACCCACTAAATTGTCATCTCGGTCTCCTGTTCGGGAAGAGGAAACTTATATCTGACTTCCTTATCAGCTAGAAACTTATTCAGCAAATCAATACATTCACTAGGCTTTTCGTTAAATACGAGGTGTCCACATTTCTCGAGCACTAACACGTTTTTGCGCACATTATTTAGCTTGTCGTCAAGTATATCAAGACATGAAACATCCAGAACCTCGTCATGATCGCCCCAAATTACCATAGTTCTTGCCCGGATCTTGTGGAGTTCGTCTTCTAGTATTGTTGGATGAGCCTGCATGTCCAAAAGCACTTTTTGTACCACGTCCCGTGCTCGTTCGCGTTTAGAGACAATTGGCGCTCGGAACACGCGAGATGTAGACATCAAGTTGGTAACTCGATCGTGCCAGTCGACAACTTCGCTCGTCAAAGTCTCTGTTGGGCTTTGTGGCATCAACTTGCTCAGACTGTCAATATCGCTGAGTGTGACGCCCATGGATTGAGTTGAAATGCCCCATGAGCACATCAAAGTCAACGACTTGACTCGTGTTGGGTGCATTGCAGCATAGACGCCAGCAACTGTTGCGCCCATGCACGTGCCAACCAAATGTACTTTGTTGTTTGGGTAGAGCTCAGACTCGAAGAACTCATGTAGTCGTCGAGCTTGTCGATCGGCTGCAAAATCCATGAGCGGGTCTAACGGTGTCGTCTTCCCGTGGCCTGGGAGATCAGGAATCACGACGTGATAGTCATTGCTCAGGCCACTTGCGACGCGCACCCAGGCTTCTTTCTGTAATCCAAGCCCGTGCAGGAACACGACAATCTCTCGACTTGAAGGGTTGGCTGCGGGTCGTTTGAAGTAACTCC